TGGAGCCACAATAGTGGAAGGCAAGACGATATCAGCTCATCGCCTGTGTCAAAATGCACTGTGCTGTTGGTGGGGCACATGAAACTCATGGTAGGAGTTTCTCTTACTCGTCCTCGTGTCGGCTTTAAGTACGTGTTGATGGGAGAACTTAAGATCAGGAAATGGGGAAAGGTGATGTTTGCGCGAATGACAAACTGCAGAATGTAATCGCGAAACAACTTGCCAGGTGGCAGATTGGAAAGAGGAAAAGGTACTTTGTCTGTACTACCCTCACATTGTGAAGAGGAGAGCTTCATTCGACCACTCCTTTGAAAGGCAAATTAAGTGTCCTGGATGGGGATGGGGACCAGGTACGATGGTTGCCTCTCATGAACTCTACGCCCAATGCCAATGGACTACAAAGGGCTGATGTTCGTGTACACAAGTGCAAGATTATATGGACAGAGCGTGTTTACGTGAAGTGGAGGTACTTAAGGCGCAACACAGAGGTCGCGGTTGGCTGTAGCTCCTGGCGCACCGTGAGGCGGGTTGTGTTGGAGCATTGTGATGGCGCACACACCAACTCTCACCCTCAGCAGTGGTCACACGATTCCGCAACTTGGCTTCGGTACCGCCGTAGGATTCGATCTCCTCCACTACTCTCTCCTACTTGTAGGGCGCGAAGGCGAGAATGGCACAAGCTGTGAAGGTGGCCATCAGCACAGGATTCCGTCACTTTGACAGCGCCATGTTCTACGACACCGAATCGGAGGTGGGAGCCGCCATAGCCTCATGCATTGAAAAGGGCGGCGTGAAACGCGAAGACTTCTTCATCACTTCAAAGGTACTCACTTCTCCACCTGCTTGACATTGGTCATTTCGTAAGTGTAGCTTTGGTGCGACAAGCACGCCCCCGAGGATGTGCGCAAAGCATGCGAGCAGTCACTGAAGAACTTTGGCTTGGAGTACTTGGATCTCTACCTCATCCACTGGCCTGTATCTTTTCATTGCAAGGAGGGTGTCAGGTACGATATCGATGACCCGAATTGTGTTGTCAATGAGCATCATAAGCTAGAGGATACGTGGAAGGTAGGTTTGTGCGAGTAGTGTTAGCGACCATCGACCTAGGCCATGGAGGAGTTGGTATCGGCTGGACTCGTCAAGTCGATCGGAGTGTCCAACTTCAACAAGCGCCAATTGGAACGCATATTGGCGTCGTGCACAATCTGTCCAGCGGTGAATCAGGTTGAAGTTAATATCCACTGTCCCAACACGAAGTTGATTGAATTTT